TGGCAGAAATAGGACATAACAAACAAACAGTGGTCTGCCATGTTTCAGCCCTGAAGCTACTACTGAGGACACAGAAGTCACATTCTCGCTTTAATTCAGTTCAGTTCAAACATGTTTCTCACTGTAATCCTCCCTCATGGGGACATTTGAGGTGGGTGTACAAACATATATCTCCAAAAACACACGAATTATACATGATATGTATAATAATTAAAGGCTGATTCTGATTTCATTTTCTGACTTTGGTGAACAGCAGCGGTAGCATTTCTGAAGCTTTTGGTCATACCATGTGGTCTTCATCAGCAGATATCACCCAGTCATTATAGAATTGTGTATTTTCTAATCCAAGCATTTAAATCAACATAAACAACAAATCCTGAAATAATGGAAATTGCTTCAATTAGCAACATTTCCATAACAACTGGGCAAATTTCACCAACTGATGAAGATCATGAGATATGATCAAAAGCTACAGAAAAGCTACTAAATGGCCCAGTGGTGAGATTTTCTATGGGAAAACAGGAATTAAGAACATTTCAAATAGTTTTGTTGTTGTTTGTTTATTTGTTTGTTTGTTTTTGGACTCAGGACTTAGGTTTCTTTAAAATCTTGGCTACCTGCGTCCCTCATCACTGGTGGACTGAGGGGTGGGGGACAGGGGGCCAATCTCCCCTTCCCTTGGTGCCCCCATATGCCCGTATGATAGACAGCGCTGGGAGTAACAAATTACATTTTACAATTAAATAACTTTACTTTTGTCTTACCTGAAAACAGTGGACAGCAGTAGACGACGGTTTCCTCTAATGTTACAGTAACAGATAACATCATCAAATAATTATTTAATATATTTAATTATTATTATAACTAACTATTTATTATCATAACTAACTATTAAGTATTATCAGCGAAGCTCGGTTAATGTTCACATTGGTGTGATTCTTCTTCTACTACACAATAGTTGTAGCTTACAGGTAAGAAGTCCAGTCGTTGCTGCTCCTGGTGGTCGTTTTAATAACTACACACGTGATTTGTGTCACAGCCATAATAAAATAATATAACTGACAGCTGTGTGCATTAATAAGAGAACTGAAGAAAAGTTACATTTCTTCCTAATTACTTTTACATGCAGTAATTGGTAAAGTAGTTAAATTACTTTTAAAAGAAGCCATAAGTTTCCTGTAACTTTCCAAACACTGATGATAAAAGTGCCCTTTTTATTTGTTTACCCGCTCAAACAGCCTCAGTCATGTTAAGTTATCATACAGCCTGTTTTAATCCAAGAAAGTTATATTAAAGAATAATTGTAATGTAATAATGACAATGACCACTCATTTTAACAAATTATAATCTTTATTACTGCCCCATATGTTGTAATATCTTTGTTCGGGTCGTGTATGGTTCTAATTTACCTCAGTATTTCTTTCTAAATGTGAGTCGTTGTGGGAGCTGAACCTCCTCTGCTCCTCCTGCAGGGTGCGCCCTCTGTCCGAGTCCGTCAACGACCTGTTCAGAGAAGTGTCCCTTCTGCGCCGGCGCATCACCGAGCTCTCTCATCGCCTAGCAACCCTGGAACCGTTCCTCCGTCACCACGGCTACCGGGGGGAGGGGGGGGAGGAGGAGGGCCGGGCTCTGGCACCTCAGAGCCTCAGAGGAGAGGTGGCGAGCCTGGCCCGGTACAGCCCGAGGACCGCGGCGAGGGCCAGTCCGCCGAGGGGGAGCCGGGTGGTGAGGAGGAGACGGGTGAGGGTCCTCAAGAACGGGGGAGTGAAGCTGGTTCAGAGAGAGAGATAGACACACTGATGGAGGGAAGAGTGGGGGAAGTTTGTGACAGAGAGAGCTTCTGCAAATATTATATAATGTAAGAAATCATTTAACTGTGTTTAATGTAAAATAACAATATAGACACTGCTTGTCCTGAGTGACGGTTTGTATTAATCATATCTTTAAATAAACTCTTGTTGACTGTTTCACTGTTTTAGCTTTTAATGTCAAACACAAACCTGCTTCTATAAAACTATTAATCTGTTATATTTCATTATATTATATATATATCTTAATAATTTAAAGTGTGTTTCTGAAACATCCTCAAACATGTAATATTTTAGCTTTAAGGTTCATTCTTGACATCAGAAACAACAATTTACTTCATCTCATGTCTCTTTTCCCCTTTCCATTTACTGGCACATAAACAAATATGGAGTGTTCAGTATAAATGTAATAAATAACTCACATTCATTTATTGACAGGTAAAGACTTTATGGTGCAAAGTGGCTTTATAAAATTAAATTTAAAAATAAATTGCAATAATCTGTTATAATGAGAAGAAGCAGGAACGGCTGATTATTTTTTACATTTATCAGATTATATCACATTTGATAATTACACATTTCCCCTGTATTTATTATTATGATTATTTATTTCTTATTTATTCAGTAAATACTGAACACTTTGCGTCACCATAAACCAAACAGCATAAAAGCAGAACAGAAAGTACAACAGGAACCAGAGGCAGGTACGGTGGACTCCCCCTTAAAGGGCTACTTAACCTATTTCTCACATGAAGTTGGTTTTTATTCGTCACGAGGAGTGAAAACAGTTGTGATCTGTGGCTCTGGAGGAGAGAAAAACATCCTTACAAACATTGACAGGAGCCTAAATATAGTCTACAGACAGCTTCTGGGTCTGTGAACTGAAGCCAATGTGGAAGTGTCTTGCATTATTTCTAATGGCCAGCAGGGGGAGCTCCACTGGCTGCAAAGTCAGATAGTATTGAGTCTTATGGAGAAATGACCCAACTTCTCACTTGATTTATCAGCTCAGTAAACAGTTTCTTAATAGGTTTATGGACTCATTCTCTAGTTTCAAGTCTTCTTCCACACAGGATGATCTTCATTTATTTATGTTCAGATTTAGAGTCAAATAGACGACAAAGAAGGGTATACTTTAGGGCGTGGGTACCTGGTGATTGACAGGTCACTCTCAGTGAGTCTGTGAACAAAACTCAAATATAAATCAAGATTCTATTACTGCGGTGACTATTTCTCTTCAAAATCTTTTCAGAAACATATTGTTGTGTAGCATTATATTTATCTATAATACGAGAACGATTGTAACCAGGCTGCCATTGCATTGTGGGAATTGTAGTCTCCAGTGTTTTGGAAGCTTGAACCCCGCTAGAAACTAAAACTCAGGATATCTCAGGCTCTTTTTTAAACCTTTTTGTGAATCCCCAATTTCATACAAGTGCAATACTAAATTTAACTATTCCTTTAAAACAATATACATAGAAACCCAAGAAAAACATATTTTAGTTATATATAACTACAAAAAAGGATTTCGCCAGTGTACACACAACAAGAAAGAAAATAAATTCCCAGTGATCCACGTGTGCCTTCACCAGACATTCCAGCAGCATCTGTCATCACTTCAGTAATAAATGAGTAATAGACGAGCAGCCAGGTCATGCTCCCTCCTACCTGTGCACACAAAAACACACACACACACACACAGTACACCAGAGGATGCCATGTTGTTGCCACAGGGTGTCAGTGCTCGCCTGCTGCCGTAATCAGATGTGACATTACAACTAATTCATGGAGGCTTGATCTTTTGTTTTTGCTCAGCTGAAGTCAGGGACAGTTCTCAAGGGCCCAGCAGGGGGTGCCTATTATCTGCTAACATAATTATACTGTTTGTTTGCGTATGGTGATCGCGTGCGTGTGTTCATGTTGTGGGCACAGGCATCCCAACTTTATGCCTTCATTAAAACTTTGCCAAGTGTTTCTACAGCAACCAGTTTCTCTCTGCTTCTCCTCCACTTGTCATCCACACCACATACTGCAGCGTGGCTCCTCTTTTCTCTCGTTTTCAACCTGCATCCGAACACTCGCAGCTTGTCAATTCCCCTTTCTGTTTGCCTGCGATTCCCCTGCATGTGTTTCATCCTCCCCTTTTTTTTTATCATACTGTAATCTGTACATCAACCACCCCTCCTCTTCTTCCTCCTCCTCCTCCATCTCCCTCCTTCTCTTCTTCTCTACACTGCTATGTGTGGGCGTTAAGCTCAGGCTGTACTTTCCATTTTGGTATTGTATTGTCAATGCATTGTTGCATCCAATCCAGTTAAGATGCGGTGGGAATTCTGTATAAATCTCTCTCTGTCTCTCTTTCTACACCCCCCCTCCCCCCTCCCCATCTGTGGAAAAAGAGCCAGTTGCTAGGTAACAGTTAATTGTCAAGAAGTAGTTACATGTGTTGCAATGCATCCTGAGATTGTTGGGTTGGCGTGAGGAGAGAACAAGTGAGCAGAAAAAAGACGTCTGAGAGAGAAAATAGTAAAGAGTTTCTTAAGAAGCGGGAGATAAAACTGATTAAAAGATTATTTCTACCACCTCACCTCGTTCTGTGTCAGCATCCAGGACTGCAGATGTTACAAAATCTCCCCACCAAATCTATACACACAAGGCTTCGGTACATTTTCCAACCTGCAGGTTTCTTTAAATAACTCCTGTTGCTGGACAAGGCTTTCAGAGTAAAGAGAGCGTCTGAAGAGTGAGGGGGAGTGAGGTTTTTTTTTTTTGGGGGGGGGGCTTTGATCTCTGCTGCTCAGTTCAGTTTGCATCACTTCTTCCTTCCCTCAATACTTCTTCCCCCTCTCCCCTCCACCTTTTATTCTCAAGCCTCTTTATTTATTTTCTCTTTGGTCCACAAAAACACTTGTCCAACATGGTGGGGTACCATCACTGGCACATGATGAGAGTCCTGTTTATGAGAAGATAGAGAGGAGCAAATAAAAGATGCAGTGAAAGAGCAGAAGATGACAGTCAGCTGCAGCCATTATCTCAGCTCCACTGATGACCTATGGGATGTAATAATAATACGATCTGTTACAAACATGCACTCAACGCATTTGAATATCAAATATAAACACGTGAAAGACGTCCCGTTGCTTGCTGCCGACCTGTGGACACAACAAATGACATAAAACAAGACCAAGTCAATTTGAGATTTATTATTTTTTATTAATACTCAACACTTTTATTCCAAAGAGACAGAAGAATAATATTTCTCAGCACTTATTTTCACATTGACTGTGTTTAATCTCATTTTCAATATTACTAAATATTCAATCAAATTCGAAATACTCTCTTCACACAAGTAATTTCTCTCCATACAAAAAATGCGAGGGTGAACTAGATTTTTGTCGTATGTACATTTTTCACAATCTGTACAGCTCGGGGGGATGGAGTTGTTCGATCTTCTGTGGTAAAACACAAAAACAGAAGATTAGCCAAAGAGAAGAAAGAAAAGAGAGACTACCTTGTAAAAATGCAAATAGATATTCCCATAGATCTATTGTGCTTTCTGTGTATCCATGAATGACTTTAATGCTTTACAATTTTTCCTTTTGACAAAACAACCGTCTCAGCTGGTCTTTGACCAAATCCAAGAGAAAATCAAAAACACATCAACAAACCTCGACTTATTAAATGTGCACCTCAACTGTGTACTAATAAACGATTGCACACATCCTGGCCTGAAGTCGATACAAAAGCAATTTTGCAAGGGGACCTACGAATCAAAGATTTATCCCAAATAGATCTATTCTCTGCTGTTTTGTACAGTTTTTTTTATCAAAAGTCCATGAGCGTGAGGTAAAGTATTTACATACAGTTTTATAATACATGTACAATAAACAGTTATCTCTCACACACACTCTCTGTCTCTCTTTCATATGAGCACACACAGAGGTAATCAAGCGTATGTATTCAGGCACATACAATAACAGAAATAATGAAACGTACTGAGATATTCAAAGGAAAAAAAAGAAGTAGTTGAGATGAAGAACGCTTCTTCAGTGACAATGAATGAATTAACCAAGACCTCAACCTTGTTTAAAAGCATTTACACAAACTATCAATAAAAAACTGATCTTTGTATAACATTAACAATAAAAAAAATGTTTTCTATCCTAGTGATGTTTTTTTTAAATCAATTTAGCCATATTTAAGTATAACCAAAATTTGGACTGTTAGATTGGTGTCTTCTCTTGCACAAACAAGCACACACGCACACACACACACGCCACACACACACACACACACACACACACACACACACACACACACACCTACAGTACTACATGGATCATCAGTACCAATGAAATTGATAAAATTCCAAATATTGTTCAAAAACACCCATTTTTTTCTGGGCTAAAAGTTAAGATTAAAAAACAGAAATAAAGAAAAAGTGTATACATGCAAGTCCTTACAAACACTAGAGACCCCCTAGTATCATACATACTGACTTGTCAACCAAGAGAAGGAAAGTCTTCTAAAGTTTTGACTGGGATGTACAACAAACTAAATATTGGACCCATTCAGTCAGATTGTGCTTAGGTATTAAAATTTGGTTTGGCAAAATGACTAAAAGTCCCTGGAAATTAAGACCATAAGACCTAAGTTCGTCTTTATAACAGGTTAGAGCAGAGATGACCTGAATGTCTGATGTTGTGGATTTGGGAGCCGCCTTTTAATCTAAATAGTCCATCTGTAACGAAGGCAATGCTTATTTTTTATCAGATGTACCTCCTGCTTTTAGGAAGCGGTTTACGTTCTCCCGCCTTCCTCTTTTATTCTTTTCCTCCTCAAATGTCAGCAGCTGACACAATCCACACAGGACCTTGGACTTGAGGGCAAATTCTTTCCTTCATCAAAATCTCAGCATGTGAAACAGATTATGGTCCGGTGGAGGGAGAAATCAAGGTTACAATACATGCTGAAATTACTTTTTATGTTCTGTTTGATGAAAAATGTGAGTTTGAGCAACATGGAGAGAGAAATGATGACTGAGTGTTAGCTTAGCTTAGCACAAAGACTGGAAACAGCTACCCTGTCCAAAGGTAACAAAATCCACCTACCAGCACCTCTGAAGCTAACTAATTAAGTTGTAGTTGTTTTATCTGCACAACCACGGAAGTGTACAAATGAGGTTATGTGTTGGACTGTTTCTTGGCTGATTGTTTGTAGGCCAGAATCATGGCGACTACAAGAAAGTCTTGCAGATAACTTTTACACTTCGGTTATAACATACTGTATAACACATTAATTAGTGAGCATTAGAGGTGCTGGTTTTGTTACCTGCAGGTAGAAGCAGTCTAGCTGTCTTTTTGCTAAGCTAAGCTAACTACTAGCTGCTGGCTGTACCTTCATATTTACTGTACAGATATGAGAACGGTCTCAATCTTCCCATCTAATGCTCGGCAAAAAAACAAAAGTGTATTTCCCAAAATGTCCCATTTTTACTTTATATCACAGGGACTATTCAGTAGCTGTATAGTAAGTAGACTACAGTTTTCTGTACTATTTATCCCCATTTCTAAGCACGAACCTTCTTTTACACCAGCAGAGTGAAAACGTTCAACACTTATACTCCACTCATCATTCAAATGTGACCATCTAATACAGCAGGCAGGGCTTATAGCCCGTAATCATGAAATAATTAACATGCCAGGCTGCTCATCCCAGCAATGGAGAGGCCTCACTCTGAGAGTCCATTATGTCCCTGTCCTGAACAGCAAAACTGTCACGGCCAATTGAGTCAGACCCAATGAAACACGAGGAGCGCAACAAGTGGACATTAAATGTGATTTACATGTATTTAATGGGTAGTTGGGTCACCTGTGGTAAAAATGAACAGTGGACTTTGAGGAGGTGAAGAGTGATGAAGCTCGTTGAGCTTCTTTGTAAATGATTCAAAGGAAATTTAATTGCAATTGATAGATTAACTGCGGAGTTAATAGTACAAAGCTTCGAAATTTTATTTATAAATTGGGTGGGGTGGGGCACAGGAATGTTGTATTTATCATGGCACTGTGGTTTTAACCCTTGTAATCCTGCTATAGGTTATTTTTATTGTTGGGGATCTATGTAGAAATTTAAGCTTCCTCTGCTGCCGCAATTCTTTATGTTTTGCTTTGTATCCTAACATCTGTTAAAGTCTGCTACAGTCATGAAACTCTACCCTCATATCAGACTTTTTCAGGAGTATTTTCACCCTCAAATCAATCGACTAATTGTTTGCAGGTGGATCTGTCTACTAACAAAACAGATCTTGTGTGTAGAAAATCAGTATTAATCCTTTAAGGCACATCCAGCTCAAAATGTGAGACCCATTTGGTACTGCCGAGCAGAAAAACGAGAGGAAACGGCAAATCAGTATGATGATGTTGCTTCTGCAGCTGAAAAAAAAGACCTTCTTTGCAAATTACGAGTACATAGAATGTACTCAGCAAGTCATGCCTTTCACGTACACTTTACAGCACTCAAAAGTAAGAAAAGTATAAAAAACCAAACATGAAGAATTAATAGCAAAGAAGAGTCCAAATTACAGGAACCCAAAAAAGATCCGTACCGACAACTGGTCTACCAGTCTCCTGTAATATTGGTAAGCTAAGAAAGAATTAACATCATACAAATATGTAACATGAACTATTTAAATAAATAAAATTGAAAAAAACAATCCAAACCAATCATCATTAAACACTGGAATAATATTCAATAATATTATCAACATTATCAATACAGTTATTATTAGTTTACCCTGTTACTTCAACAGAAGTGTTATTTCTCATTCATGATTGTATTTCCATAGCTAAACAAAATGTTTGTTTTGGTGTTAAAGAACTGCAGGAGGGAGGGAAAGACAATGAGCATGTGAAGAGAGCAGAGACTGGAGATTTTATTTCACTTTTTCCCCTCCCTCCCTATCTTTCTCTGAGCGTCGGAGCAGCACCAGAATCCTCTCTTCTCATTAAAAACTTGTCTCCCGCCGGACTTCACCACAGCTTAGCCTGCAGTGGCCTCTGTGCATCGTCCAAATTCTTTCCATTTAGTGGAGTGAGAACAACACACACAGTATCGTGTCTCCTCATTCTCTTCACACACAGAGGTCACCAGCCCGTGCTGTTTCTCTTTTTCCCCCTGTATGTTCCTCTCTGTCCCCCTCTTTTCTTCACCCACTTCATCTCCTCTCTCTCTTTCTGCCTCTTTCTTCAACCCTCAGACGTCTGACTCAATGCTGGAGAGCTTTTCATAAACGTGTCCATTGCTGGCACCGTTGAAGGTTCTCTGTCCCTGCCCCAAACCTAACGTGTCCCTGACCCCGGGCAGTATCTTGCTGGCCCCGTGGTGGTTCCCCATTGGCCCTCCCACCCCGCCCAGACACAGATCTTTGGGGAACCTGGGGGCCACATTGGACATCACCCCAGCTGTGGCGGACGCGGGCAAATAGGAAGTCGCTCCCATGGAGCCGCGGAAGTCCCCTCCTCCTCGGCTGTTGTTGAGAAGTTGCTGCTGCTGCTGTTGCTGCGTCTGTGGCTTTTTGATGTAGTACGGTTTGGCACCGTGTAATAGACACTGGTCGTCGCCGAAGGTTGGGATGAAGGGGTTCTGGTTCACCTTATCTGGGTAGAGAGATTTAGACAAGGAGTAAGTCCCAGCCCCTCTGCTACCACCACCACCACCACCACCACCACCACCACAGCCCCCACCTCCCATCATAGCTCTATCTCTGTCCCTCAGGTCTCTCTCCCCCACCGACCGCTGATGCAACCCACCTTCGCCTCCACGGAACAAACTGAAGGAGGAGCCTCCTTTCGCCCTATCTCCACCTATTCCTCCGAACATGGAAGACTCCCTTTCACCTGCATACCTCTCAAACATGTGAGCATAAGGGCTGGGGCCCTCCATGAAGCGGTCTTTGTCTTTCAAGCTCACACTTCGGGGCTGGGGAAACTGCCCCCCAACGCCCCCGCCGACCCCTCCCATGCGGCCTGCCCCCTCTCTCTGCAGGTCCACAAATGTGTCATATGAGTGTTGCCTCCGTAACACCCTCCCACCTGGCCCTAGCTTCCTGCGCTGTGCCTGAGTTTGTGTGTCACTGGGTCCTACGCTACTCTTCCCTCCAGCGAACACCATGTTATTATCCTCGCTGATGTTGTAAAGGTTGCTTGGCTGGCAGCGTTTGCAGCTAGCGGAGCTGGGGCGACTGCTGCTACCTCCAACCCCGCTAGTTGGGCATGTGCCGCCTCCTCCCACGCCCCCACCGTGGTGACACACACTGTGGCAGTTACGACACTCCCAGTCACCCCCTGCTATGCCCCCCCCTCCTATCCCAGAGACCCCTTTCTCCCAGCAGGTGTGGGCCTGCTGCCCTGCAGACACTGAGCCAAGCCCACCTTTACACTCCGGCTTCTTGCCTTTACCTTTGAGGAAGTCTTCTACAGGTACCAAGCTTTTACAGATACCGCCACCGCTACCAACGCCCACACCACTTCCTCCACTTCCACCCTCTTGCTCCCACTTGGCCTTGCCCTCCTTGGAGCGGAACTGGTCCGCATAGAAATCCCTCAGGTTCTCTTTGTCTTTGCGGAACAAGTAAGGTGAAGAATTACCCCCTCCTCCTCCCCTCTTCCGCTCCAGGGGAGGTGAGACCGTGCGGTGTGCCTGGGGCCCGTGGGGGAAGTGGTGGTGGACGGTGTGGTGGTGGGGTCTCCTCCTCAAGCCGCTCAGCTCTATCTCGTCCTGCTCCCGTCTGCACTTGGCCGAGGCTGGCCTCTTTTTCAGGCTGTCCCTGTACTGCTTACGCCGCTTGTTGTTGCCCTCCAGGTTGCCGTAGGTGACGGTGTGCGTGGAGATATCCGAAACATCGGAGCGAATGTTCCCATCATCGCCCCCCGAGCCTCCCCCACCCCCACCACAGTACCTGTCATGACCCCCGATGAGCCCCGTGCTGGATGCGCCTCCTTTGAAAGAAAACCTCCCGTACACATTGCTTCCCTTGAACCCACCCTGGTTGGAATCCGCAGGGGTGTGGCCAGCAATCAGGTCAAATTTATTGGTATTCCTGTGAGTCATGGAGGGTCGGGGCTGGGTGGTGAAGATGGGTGCTACCCCTCCCCCTAAACTGTCGCAATCGAACATGCCCCCCTCCAACGAGCTAGTGCTGCCTAAGCTACGCGGCCTATTAGGCGGGGGGCCGGACATACCCAGAGCCGAGGCCGGGTGGTGGTGCAGGTAAGGGTCCTGGTACAGGTTGTTGTCCTTCAGGGGCAAGTTCCCAAAAGTCCTCTCCACCTCGCTGATGTAGTCACTGAACATGTTGTCCTCTGGCAGGTAGGCCGGCGCTGACTTACAGTCAACAGGGTGACCCACCAAGCTACGCCGATGCTCCTGGATATCGTAGATAGCCGAGTCACGGCCGCTGTGGCTGTACTCCAGTGCGGCGTGCGGCGAGCCGTTAATGCCCGGGACGGCCGTCATGTCCTTGGCAGTACGGAGCAACCGCAGGATGTTGGAGTGGGTGTTGTTCATGTTCTTCTTCATGGTGGCTGAGGGTGAGTCTATGGTTGACTTGTTTTCCTCAATTTGTACCCCATGGATGCAGCTGTAGATACCCTGGAGTGTAAAAATTACAAGAAAAGGGAGGTAGAGAGAGAAAGAGAGGGTGAGACAGGCCATAGGAGGAAGGAAGAATAAGAGTGAGAGTGGCCAGATATGAAGTGAGAAGGAAACAACAGTAAAATGTGTGGCAGTAGTAAGGAATCGAGAACCACAGGGGATTTAATGTTAGAGAGTCAAACACCACAGACAGACAGACAGAGAGAGAGAGAGAGGCAAACAGAGACAGACAGAGGCAGAGAGAGGTTAATGCATTGCCATGTTCCCTCTGACCACCCTCTTGTTTACACACTATTAAACAGTAATAGGGGCTGAGTTCATAAATGACTTTTCTCAGGGGTACAGCGTGGACCCTCACAGCTGCTGCTCAACACTTCACCTCAGACACAGAGAACTGAGGGAGAGGGAAATGAGCAGATCAAAGCCTTGATTGATAACACAAGGGGTGCAGTAAGATCACTGTTTTGACCACCAATCAATAGGTTTAATCAATGTCATTTAAATTCAGCTGACACTGGTGCCACTGGCTTTCTATCTCATGATTGTTTTACTCTTTTTCCCTTTCATGAAAAAAACACTGTCAAGGAAATGAATCACTTTGTAAAAAGTTTGTCTGACTCTCCGTTGATATCAGAGACACATGCGTTAACGATCATCTATTCAAAATGATTAATCCATCAGTACATGTGTTTGTTTTGGTTTGTTGGTCAAAACAGGATTTTCAGCAGCGGGGAAAGCTTTTGCGAATGTAGTCAAAACAAGCATGTTCAAATGGGGGATGAGGGAATCTGTGGTCGGGGCGTCAGCCAAATCCGAAAGGTCGAGGACACACTACCCACCAGCCAGCGCGCGGGCCAACATTCCTCAAAGGCGTCAACTTGTCAGAAACAGTTTCTGTCTGTCTCTTAGTCACTTTCCCCGTCACCGAGCTACATTCATGAATCTGAATTGTCAACCCTCTTTCCTTTTATGCCTCCATTCTCTCTTTGTGCCTGTTTTATCTCAGTTTCCGGGCGCTCGGGTGAGCGGCAGCCGCTCCAATGGGATTGTCTGTCTTTATCTCTCTACATCTATAGCTACTACAGCTGCTGTGAAAGGTAATAGAACAGAGGTTACTGGCACACCGCTGTGTCTGTTCTTTTCTACTCTGCCTTTGTCCCGCTGCCGGTTTTATTCTTTATCATGACTCTCCCTAACTGATCTCTTTTTCTTCCTCTGTATTTTATTAGCCCTTTGTAGTCTCATCACTTGTCCATCCTCACACGTTCTATATACTGTATACGGACTGCAATTTTCTTGAATGTTGCTTTAGTATTTTTTCTTTCGCGCGTTGCACCTTGAGTGTTAAAACCAGGCATGAAAATGTATGAAAGATATCTCGCCGTAGAACCACTCTTGACTAACTGGAGCCACTCTTGAAACGTGCATGCACTTAAAGCGGATGTCGTAATGCAACAAGTAGTCTCGAGCACATTAGAGCTCAGTGTGAATCTTAAAGCTACAATGCAAAAAGTGGTGCTTATGTTCTGCATAAAAATATTAGTTTCAGGAGCTACAAAGACAGTGGGAGATTGTGTGTGTTTGTAAAGTCAAGGCCAGATCTGAGTTTTAGGTTCTTTCAGTCTGAGTAGGTGTAAACCAAATTACATTACAATTAGAAAACACCTTCAGCCTTTACAGCAAACACATAAACACTAGTGTCCTTTTCTCTGGCAAATAATAACTGAGGCAATCTGCATGCAGCTCTGTTTGTTAAAAGCTAACATTATGCAAATGAATTACACCTCAAGTGATTATTTATATGGACCTAAACAACCTGCATCAATAACACTGAGACACCTTGTTAAGTGACCCATTTGAACAGAGTCGTAACCATGCTGAGATGAGCTCTCCGACATCCACAAACACACCTTCAGGTCACCGGCTGAGAATGTGCAGCATAGTAAGTGGCTTTTATTTCAGCAACATTAAGTTGATAAATAGCGGACTTTCTCAAAGACTGCAGGCTCTGGTAACCCCGTCAGGAACGGAGGCTTCAGTGATGCTTTCACGCTGATGCTGGTTGGTCTCACTGTCACTCAACATGTTGATAGCCGTTGTTTGTTGTGTTTCTGTTCTGTAAAGAGCTTTTCATACTTGACACCTTCAGAATTCTAATAAAATACGTTTCCCAACAAACCTTTTCACATCAAATATGACTTCATTTCCTAATAGTCCTGGTTATTTTAATAAAAAAATGTGCAATACAATATTATACACACTAAATGATAGGGAATGATGGGTTATATTCATTCTTTTTTTTAAAAATGTATGGTTATATTGTACTCTACTGATTTGCAGTGTTAGGTGAAGATCGGTTTTGTTCGTATAGCAGGAGAGGCTATTGACTTTTGTTATTTAACGACTGCCTGGGCTAAAAAAGCCACAGGTAAGTCAGGTGAGTCATCGTATCCCCCTGACGGACTAGATACACCTCAACCACAGCCAGTGGTTTTAAAACAACCACTTCTATGATCTTTCTGTCAGGAGGACAAAGGTCAGACCTAAAATAAAACACAAGCGCACTCACTCTGCTAATGGAGAAGGTGAACCCAGGCTTTCCGGAGCACACGCCCATGAAGCAGAAGCGTAGCTGCCAGTAGAACCAATGTTCACAGATGAAGGTGATTAATGACAGAATCATGGCAGCTCCGAGCATATAGAAGACCCCCGCCATGTTGTCCACGTCCAGCTGACTGCTCATCACCTCGTTCTTCTCATTGTGGCAGATGCCCGTCAGCCACAGGGCCTCAAACTCCTCCATATCACCTGGACGAAAGAGAGACATATATACACAGGTTATTGAACCGATGGGTTGGGTGTTACTGTTTGTGTGACCTGCGTACTGGGATGAGTTCACCCGTAGCTGTCTGGACATGCAAGTGTGAGTACAAAAAGAGAGGACACATTTGTGGAAGGGGAGTTGATGCCAAAAACAGCTCAGGTCTCACGTACGTGCAACAATGTCATGTTGCATTATTTTGAGTGAACGCCGCCCCCAAGGAGCATCCTCATTAAGGATTGCTTATGCAAGGCTATCCCTTCTTTGTTGTGGGGAAAAAAAAAAAACACTGCCTGCTGGGATTTGACACTCCTCAGGGAGGAAGTGTGTGTGGTCATGTGACAAGCGTTTCCGCCCTAAAATGTGTTCCCCTACGTTCCACATCCCCGGGGGGACTGCTAAGGGGGGAGGACACGTCCAGAGAGATTTGTTTGATCTGCACCGATTTTTTGTGAGTGTCTGTGTGAGATCAAGGGGGTATATATTTTCCCAATGCTTGCATAACCCTGTTTTGTGTATAGATGTTTGTGTGTGTGTTTGTCTCGCTGTTAACTAGTTTCTTACCTAAGTGAACCTCAGTAAGTGACGTCAGTGGCAGTGTTAAGGCGTGTTCACACAGAAAGCGAAGCAAATTTTTCCGTTACTTGATTAAAGCTCTTGGTTTTACTTTAATATGAACCACGTTAGCATAGCCCTGATCAATCCGAACTCAGTTCAGAAATTTTACGGACAGACTATACAAATCAGCATCATGATGTAGTTCTTTCAGGATCCTTTTGATCCATTTATTGCAGGTATCCACACCAAAATCTGTTTATTTTGGGTTGATAGTAAGCCAAAGGCAAATATTTTCAGTATCACAAGTAACACACCATTATGATGACTGGCCATTGGCCAGGTCCAGTGTGTACCTGTAATTTAAGAGGATCTATTGACAGAAATGGAATATAATATTCACAGGTATGCTTCCATTAGTGTATAATCACCTCAAAATAAGAATCGTTGTGTTTTCGTTGCCTTATAATGAGCCATTTTTATCTACAGAGGGAGCAGGTCCTCTTCTCCAACTGAACACTGGCTCTATATCGGGCCTTTCACAGCCACTGTAGTTTCTCCTACACTCTTAGAACAGGAGGGTGAGGTGAGGGGATGGTAACCTGCAACTACACACTAAATCCTACACAATGGATCTTTAAGTGAACAAAAACATGAAAACTGGAAGCAAAAGGAAAAGTTATATATTTTGAGGTGTCTTACTTTAATTTATTTTGTTCATGAAAGAAACAGTTCAACGTTTTGTGGAATATGATCTTTCATCTTCTTTCTCTCTTGTCTCTTGTGCTTAAACAGTTTCTAGACAGTTTATCCATCTGACCAGCACTTCCGTGCAGTGTCTCTGGCTGAAAAGAATACCTGAATACCTACAGCACACAGTGTTTTGTAAAAACACAAATGCATTTTCTTTTTGTGTACAAATGGTACACCACTGTAGCTTTAAAGGTACAAGCTTTATTGCCAGGTTACTGTTTCCACCTGCTTCCAGTATTTATGCTAAGCTAGCTATGTTAAATTGTCTCCAGCCTCCAGCTCCTTCATCTTTTCATCTAACTCTTGGAATAAAGCAAGTGCGTATTAAGTATTTGCCAAAATGTCAAACTATTCCTTTTATTAGAAAATGTGAAGAGTTGGTAATAACTGCATTTCAAAGGACAAAAATGAAAACACCTTTTTGATTGAGCGATCTTTAATGTTGTTAGTAACACCTGTGCTATAACAAGTTAAAATGTCTGCTGTTAAAAAAAGGTCTATTTGATACGTCATGTCTTCTAAAGAAGTAGTATTAAAGTTAAAGACAACAAGAAAACAATGTAAAAAGAAACTAACACAAACATCTTCAGACCAGTGATGGGAACTGCAAATTGGTTCCCATTAAGAACCAGTTCCAAAGTGTCAACTCTCACACTATTGATTCTTCTAATCAGTCTGCAGATTAACGACAATGACATAAAGGCAAGATAAACGCTCTCCTGGATGCACATTCAGTGGTTTTAAATCTTGATGTACTTGTTATAGACCCAACAATATGAACCAAACTGAATCACTGGAACTGGATCAATAAGTAGAATCTATAATGTAATTATAATTAATTCTCTGCTTTCTAATCCTCCCTCCATTCTTATGCCACCTGTCTCCATCTTCCATCTTCACATTTTCTTTCCTCCTGGTCCTATATCTGTTCTGTATTCAGTGTCCTGTTACTAGGTCATCGCTGATCTTCTCCCTCTGCACATAAAAACTACACCATGTTCACATCTGGACTCTTAACAGGATGTGACAGATTTGAGCAAACATCGATGAGTCTGATCCCTTAACCTGTACTAACATATGGGTGCTGACAGCCGAGCAGTCTACGTGGAGTCATGAGGTAATGTCTGATGTGTTGGCCTCATGCACGCAGTTGACAGAACAACAAGACTTTACTTCCATTTGGTCAATTTGTGCAAACATGTCTGATCTTTGGGGAACACATACACGAACATGCACACAGCCACATGTCCACACACACACACACACACACACACATCTTGCACACATAGAGGCACACACTGGTGGTTTAGTGAACATCACTCAACAGAGAACATCGAAGGTCTGTGTCCATTTGGCTCCTAAAGATCTGATCCAAGGTGAATGCTCTCTCTGCACTGACCCCTTCATCCATCACAGACACACCGTGATGGAAAGTGATAGCACATTGAAGGCAACAGTGTGTGTGTGTGTGTGTGTGTGTGTGTGTGTGTGTGTGTGTGTGTGTGTGTCAACCTGCTGCACAATATATGATCTGACAGCAGGTGAGCAGTATGGAGCACATGCTATCTCTGGAGGCAGAGTGCTACTGTAGGTGTATTCTCCAAAGGCAAAGATTCACATCGGGGACAATCGTTTCTTTTACATGAAGATACAAAATGTAAAAGTGCTGCCAAAACCAAGGCTGGCGCTACATTTTAAAATCTTTTATTCCACATCCCTGTTCCCAATAGAGCCTTAATCCTTCTCTATGAGCAGGAATATGTCCACTGTCATAAATGAAGCAAATACATGATACAGTGTAATACAAGAGGAGTAACTGATGGTGTATGAATATAATACTTATACGCCACAGTGCTCTGAAGAGTTATGCTGCAACAACCGGTTATTTTCTCAATTAATTGATTCATTATTGAGTCTTTAAGGTGTCACAAAATAGAAAAAAGGTCAAGGCTGTTATTAAGTCTTCTCTATGGAAAGTCAAAGGCCTCAGTCAAAAGTAGGCATATCATGTTTTTTGGATGCTGCCAGCAGTAAATATCCAGTCTGAGCCAAAGTGTATTTATATCATATTTCTGTACAGTAAAGCCAAGTTCAGACCAAAGATTCACAGAGAGAAATGTTGAAACTTGCACCTACTTGCAGTACACTGGTCGGCAGCATATTGAAAACCTGCCAGTTCACACCAATGTACATGGACGAGACAGTGTATCGTCTCCATAGCAACAGCTCTCTGTACTTCTGTTGTAACTGCCAGTTTTTCAGGCTTTTTTTGTAGCTGGATATAAATTGTAGGGTCCTAAAATATAAAATGAGGATAGTGATAGTGAGTTACTTGCTACAGTTGCATTTTATTGATGAAACTATAAAAACTCTCAATAAAATCAGAGGCTTTGGAGGTATCCATGGGTGCCTGTTCTAAATTTTAAGGCTTGTGTCAAACAAATTGAAGAGGTGCTCCTCTCTTTCCTCCATCGAAAAATTATTTTGTCCAGCTGACAGTTTGTAACTGACTTGACCACCTGACTTTGCAACAAGCTGACTGGCTATTGAAACAGCAACTCAGTTGCACACAACACCATTGGCCAGCTTGAGTTGAGCTGAAACAAACCCCAGTTCACCCCACTGCAACCTTTCCCTGCAACGTTGTCAAACTGTTTTGTCTCGTCGTGAATCTTTGGTCTGAACTGGGCTTTAGACTACCGTACTTTAAAATAAGTAAATCCATATTTACAGTATATATTTTGAGATGGACCTTCAAGCTCAAAGACATTCTCATCTCAAGGGTCTGAAGCTTTCAAACATCTCATGAGAGATGGAGGCTGTTCAGTTGTCATGTGACCTCAGTGTGAAATTTCACATAATAACAATTTCAATAGAATAACTGACTTTAAAGCGACACTTTACACAATAGGTAAGACTTGGTATTTGTTGTGATGTGCTGACCCTGTTTACTGTCGTAAATGTGGACGACTCTACACATGCATTTATTACGACTACATTACTTACGATCAAAAACTAGTGAGTTGACAACACAGCCAAACATCGAGAGACTGCACAAGACACAGCAAGCCAGCTAATATTACTTACTAGTCCAACAGCAAGAAGGTCAGCTTGCCATGATTTTCCAAAGCTCTCGCCAATGACTGAAAGCCAGTTTGATCTTTTTTTTTTTCCAGCAGCTTCTTGCTCAGTCACTCTCTCTTTTTCTCTTGTTAGGTTGTTCTGTCCATTTCCTCTTAGGTCTCTTCACCTCTGTCATGTCCACAGAAGCTGATGAGCCCAGTTACATTGCCCGCTCACCACCGCTGTCGTCTGGCACGACACCAGTGAAAATATACCAACTCCTGCACCAAAAGTTACATAGTGCAAGAACAGGCATACAGGGCGTATAGTGGGAATGACACATGTACCATTCACCCTGTTACAAGTCAGTGTAGCATAGTAGTAAAGAAAATAAAACCTGCATCACAGATTGATGGTTTCCTGTAATATTTTGTAAACTGTAATGTTCTGTTGCAGTGTGTATAATGTGTCAATATAAAGCTTAAATTCAGTGGCAGAGTTCAATTTTCACAACAAAGCAGCACTTTATTTATGAGTTGTGTCGTTTTATAATGTCTGTACCTGAGGGTCTACTGTGTCATTATCTGTCCACACTGATGAGAAATGCCCTTCCAGTGTGTTTGGCCTCATCTCAGACTTCTGTGTCATCCGAGGCCAGAACCAATTTGAACAGAGGTGTCAAATGGAAATCCTAACTGAGTACACATACCACCTCAACTGGCTCAATCCGCGCATCATGACGGAGCAGCGGCTCGATAGAGAGGCCCTTGTGGATCATTGCACTCGTCATTCTCTCGTGACACCCTGCTGGCTTCTCTCTGTCACTACCCAAAACACAGAGTGACAGACCCAGGGTTCAACCTCCTCCTTATATAAATATTCTCTCGAAAAGGCGTTGGTATACTAAGAGACATACTATCACCATATCATTGAATTTATACAGTAATATTTCCATGAACATTCACAGGACTCCCGCGCTCCATGCACATCACTTACCAGCCACTGGAGGTAGTAAAGGGTTTAAATTATTTATGCACTTTTCCAAATCCTAGGCTGAGCTTCACAGCTTTTATGTCTGCTTCTTCTGAGGTGGCTTGCTAGCTACCAGAAAGAACATCCTAGAACACAGCGGTACAGTCATTTTTGGACCAAGAGTAAAAAACTAATTTAAAGAGATCATAAACAAGAAGCATGTGGTTCATACCAGAAAGCTTTCAAACTCAAATCCTGTCAATGATACATTTGAAAAACTCTATTTTAGATGCTAGAGTCGAATTAGCCAAAACAAATCAAAATTTATCGAAGGTTTCTCTGTTTGATTAAGTACAGTTCCTATTTAATATATTTTATGTCTTTTGTATAAATAATCTGTGACACTGAAGAAATATGTAAATCACAGTGCAGCAAAATCCAGAAGCTTACGAAAGACTGTCGCCATCCTTCTATCTATCTTCATTTGTCTTCATTTGTCTCTGCCAAAACAGCCTTTGCAGTGTGCTGCCAGAACCTCCTGATTTACTAAATAAACAAACTCCTTCCACACTCAAGCTTTCACTTCAACAACTGCAGCAGCTGAAGCCCTTCAGGCCTGCTGGTGCCTCACTGTTGATTAAGGACTAAACTGTGCCAACCTGGCTCAGGAGGCCTTATCCTGCAGCTCGACAGCCTCGCTGACTGCCGGGATCCACCAGCAGGTTCTTGGGTTGCCACCATAACAAACACTGACTGCCTTTTGAGTCACACCTCCTTTAGAGCTACTTTGATGGCCCCACTTCTCCGATTTTACAACACTGATGAGAATATAACTTCATTTTGTGATTGTTGTGCTTTGTTTCTTAAAACCTGAAACAGTCATTATTTAATTTATGAGTTTATTGTGAGTGAAATAAATTAATCTCTCAAAACGGTGGATCTATTTGGTTGTCCTGTTATATAGTTGTTACCTTTAAGATGGTTCCATAAAATCTCTGTAATATTCACTGGGATTGAAGGATTTACAAAACATTATTGGATCTCTACAAGGCTTCTTCAGTCCTTACCATCTCCAAACAGCATGAGGATGGCGAGATCCACAGCTCGTTTCCAGCCAGAGTCTTTCTGGATGGCGATGCCGTAGCCGGTGGAGGCGAACACTTTGCCGCTCCCGATGGTGACCAGCTTACAGCCCTCGTCTCTGCCTGCCATGTAATTCAGCACCGCAGCGTCGTAGATGAAGGCATCCAGTTTGCTGCAGAGTGCGATGGAAGGAAAATGTGTACACTTACATTGTGTTACGGAGCCTCCTGTACCCCCAATCATCATGGTGACATTGAATGAATATGTCCAAAATCACTCCCTCGTTCACTCATTCATCACTATTCAACAGTTAATAATAAATTGAGATTTTAGGATACTTATGACTCACCATAATTTGTGTCATCACTGATGTGTAGTGTTGCCCAACTTTAATTTACACATCTATTAATGGCGTAGGATAACACTTGGGTTTGTTATTTCCTTTTTCTGGAAAGTTTCCTAGAAAGAACTACGTAATTTGATACTAATTATAGAGAAAATTAAAACAAAGCATTCAGTTTAGGTAGTTGAGTTTAAAAGTAATTTGATTTCCAGAGTTATTTCAATGCAAGAGCCGCTCAGTGTAAACCCACTAAAATATTCATTCATCATTCATTTATTATTGGAAACTTTGTTCTCCATTTATCTTGCCTGCCTGTGCACATTTTTGCGTGTTCAGCTGACTAAAACATTCTAGGAAACCCTAGCTTCGCATTTAATTGGAATTAATTAATAGAAAGTGTAACAATTGAACTCTCTTTCTGTTTTAACTATAATTAACAATATATTGCATCATTCCTTCAAGGTAACTCACAATGAAATTATTAGAAATGTTATGGGTTACCAGGACAAACATTGCATTTATGGATATTTAGGAAAAGGCAGTGTGCATGCTATGGACACTTTATTCTTTTGTTTTCAGTCTGAGAGTTTTTGAGGACACTTTTTAGCACGTTTATTTTACAACAAGAAAGTAAATATATGAAACCAGGTGGTGATCAATTTTGGATACAATCACTATCATCTATTCTACTCTAGTCTGTTTTATACCTGGGTTTCCTATAGTATTTTATAGTGGGCTACCAAGTCTGAAACAAAGACCACCTTTACTAAAATGTAAATTTTCTACAAAATAAGAAACTAAGCTTCCAGCAGAAAGAGCAGCTGTGTTATTCCAGCAGATACCTCATATCTAATTCTCAATACAAGTTCCTACATGCTGTTTAACCACATCTTGTAATCTTCCTGTACCTGAACCATCTCCATGACAACTGTGCAACTATATCTGCCCGAGGAAGGCCACAAGATGTGGTTGAAAGCTCTGGAAACAACAGGTATGCTAGACCTTGCGTTGTATTTGTGTTTTTCCCAAAACTGATATTGCCAAGGACAAAAATGAATCTCCAAGCTCAAGTATGACTATCAAGTACTAAGTATGCTATTGTTTAAACTTGATTATTACACTGACCATGTGAGAAGAAGTGTCAGCGTCTGTGTGGCATACCGTCTCAGCCGACACATTTTCTGGGGACACCCTGTATTTCTTTTCTATTCTCTTCTCTCCCTATCAACCCTGAGTGATTTGACAGGTAAACTGACATGACAGTCTCCAGCTTGGTGACAAACTACCATCAAACGGTGCCTCTGGGCTCGCAGGCCATTCAGCTCAAACTCCCTGCAAACACCAGAGGTACACCACTGCTTTGCATTCTTAATTCTTAAGCAGCGGTTCATGAAAACATTGGAAGACAGCCAGAGATAAACAGTGAATAGGAAGATGTTAGCTAGCTTTGAGAGGCAGCGAGAGTGAATATTAGCCAACTTTCACAGCAACCACAGGCTGCGCTGCTATTTCTGGGCGCCAGTGGCAGGCAGATACACAGCTCCACTGGCTGCCCACCCACATTGCCCAGAACTCTCCCTCTTCCTTTGTCTCCCTCTCCTTATTCCTTGATCATCTTTTCTCTGAATTGCATCAGCACAGGACCTCACAGCCTCCATAACACAGTCTCTTTTCTTTCCCTGCTGAGATCCTTTCAACTCCCTCCTTCCTCACATTCCCCATCTGTCTCTCCGTCCTCCCCTCTATCTCTCTCCTCCTCACCCGGTCTTCAGACTGTGCAGCGCTTCATCTACATTCTTCTGGTGGAAGCTGGTCATGTAAGTATGCATGTCCCGGTAGTTGTTGCGGATGTTGCGCTCTGTACTCCCATTGGGCACCGTGCCAAACCGGAATGGCGGCGAGAATTCGTTAGGCTTCTGGAACTGTGGTGGGGGTTTTCCAGAAAAGAAACCACACAGAGAAAATGACAGAGGAGTGCTCGTTAGCATGGAAAAGGCACTGAGCCGCATAAAATAGCCTTTAATGCACTGTTGAGCAGGAGCATGGGACTATGCTTTTTTGGAAGCTCAAAATTAACTAAATGCTTAGAGTTGTGCTCAATAGATGGACAAACATGAGAGAATCTGGAGGACACATTTAGACAAACATGATCAACCATTCAGTTCAAAAGCATCAACTATTATTCCAGGCCTGCAATTATTTTTATCACTGTTTAATCAATTTAATTTCTCGATTAATCGATTAATCGTTTGTTCTACAAAAAGTGACGGATGACTATCATAGTTTCTAAAACACAAGGTGACGGATTTGTTTGAACAACTGTCCAAACTCTGAGCATCTTCATTTTTCGATCACATGAAAAGCTTGCAGATTCTCGCAATTAAGAAGCTTAGTCAATCCAAAACAATGTTGATAATTATTTAATCATTGACGTAATCTATTAAGCAAACATGACAAACATTTGCTGGTTCCAGCTTCTCAAATCTGAGGATTTGCTGCTTTTCTTTGTTTTATATATTTGCAAATTGATGGGTTCAGGTTTTGGACTGTTGGTTAGACAAAACAAGCAATTTGAAAACATGATCCCTCCAAGAACTTGTAATTCTTCTTCTTTATTTTTTTTACTTAATGAACTAAACCAGTGATTTCCAATCCTACCCCAGGGGGTACCTGAAAAGATTGTGGAATAGCTAGGCTAATTTAAAAAAACAGAAATAATGATTTGATTAAAAATATATCCACATTTTTCTGTTGAAAAATAAACACACAAATATGATTACAAATTGATGTGAGGATAATCTTTAGTATATTTATTGTTACAACAACCAGTAAACTACCAGCTACAATAGGCTGACTACACAGAATACTCCTCCCACCATCCTGAAAACCTTGTGTAAGTAGTATAGTGTTATAGTATAGTACAGCGTTGAATAACACTTCAAATCAAATCAGTTTAAATGAACATTTGAAAACACATTTGAAACATGATGGGAGTCATCAAGCATGGAGCTCTTCAGCTCATCTGATAGTGCTGTAGCTCCCAAAAAGAAGTAGTTATTTTCTGTTTAAATAATGACTCTATCTATCTTATGTTTCTATTATTCTATTAACAGGGTTTTGCTTTAACAAAACTTGTTTGCCCGGCCAACCAACCCTGTGTAAATAAGATTAAATTTAATTAAATAAATAAGAAAAATATGAAACTAATCATGAACTCTCTCATGGACTCAGGTACCCGTCCACACTTCGGTCTCACAACGCCCCACGTTACATGCTTTCACACACCTGCTCCTCCATCCCACAACCCCTCACATTGCCTTGAATTCACACCTTTTTGTCTGACAGGCCCGACACCTGGTCGACATACTCCTCCTGGATCATGAAGGCAGCCAGGTTGGCAGTGTAGGAGGCCAGGAAGATGACAGCGAAGAAGGCCCACACTGAGACCATGATCTTACTGGTGGTACCTTTGGGATTCTGCACGGGGACAGAGTTGTTGAAAACCAGACCCCAAAGCAGCCAGACAGCCTTACCGATGGTGAAGGAGGGACCGCCGGGCTCTGCGTGACAGGAGTGACATAAAAGAGGGGGTACAAGAAAAGAAGTTTCACAGATCACAAATACTATTTCACTTTATCTGCATTTACTCTTGACCGGTGTTGAGTCACTTGATGGACAGCGGCGACAAAGACTAGATTTATTTCCATCCTTTAGTTTGTCAGTGATCGCAGGATGTGCTGTACGGTCAACATCCGCTCTTGCCCTGACAACCCACTTTTACAGACTAACTCTGTTCCACCTACCTCTATGGCACTATGACAAGGTAGCAGGATGGAAACACTACCTACAGTGGCATCAGAGACAAGGAGAAAAAGAGAGGGGGGGTAGATGGGCACACAGCAGGCTACAATTATGCTACAGCTGGAGCAGCAGTATAGGACAACAGCCTTACATAACCTAGCGATTAAACCACACATACCCTACACTGTTGCTGTCACAGAAGACATTCAGAAAACAGTACAGCAGGAAACATAACTCCAAACCAAACACCATTACTCTTATCCCCTCTGGTCCTTGATAAAAAGTCTGTGAGCAGCAGTATAACACTTCTATGATTTTATCTTGAGTGGCTGCCGTTGTGGCAGGCTAATGCAATCCTGAGAGTCAAACAGAGCAGAGTGTATAAAACCTAGAGGAAAAAAATAGATTGAATCTGAACCATTGATTTTGATGGGCAAATTGATTTGGCCAGCTGGAACCGAACTTGATTCAACAGGGTAGTGTTGTTCCATACTGTCAGACACCATTAAACCTTGCACATATTTTCTATGTATTGTAATAGATCTACTTAAGGGCATTCATCAGGTTTTACAACCCTAGAAGTGGTGGTGTAACATCATTGTGTAATATTTGAGAACGACACACACAAAAAAAAAGTTAAAAAAGTGTCATGCGAGAACAGACGAGTCTTTGTTCACACAGTGATGCTAAGAATACTTAAGATCACCTATCTGGTTCTCGTCAATGATCCTTTTCATTAGTGAAAGAGCTTAAGTGACTGTAGATGTAGATAAGTACTCCAAGACATCGAGTAGAGTAAGTCCCGGTGCTCCAGTTGCACTCATTCAGAAGGGATTGTCAAAGTAATTTAGCACATGGAGGGCTCTGTCTGAATGGTTCATTCAAGGTAACAAAACATGCCAAGTAAGTCTTCATTTTAGCACATGAGATTGCCTGAAAATGTTCCTCATTGTCACCTGTTTGGAGCATTGATTGACTGGGTCAGAGCGTGTGTGTGTGTGTGTGTGTGTGTGTGTGTGTGCGTGTGCAATCCTCTCACCTCGCCCATCTGCCAGACAGCGATTGTAACCCACCGGGCTGAAGTACTCAAACACAAACACAGCCACGGCCGACACGATCAGCAACATCACAAACATCATCACCCAGACATCAGCACTGAAGGGCTCTAAAACACAGAGAGGGAGAGGGGAGTGGGTGGGAGTACAGGGTGCAGCAGGGGTGCAGAGGAAGAGAAAAGAGGAGGGAGGAATCAGTGGGGGAAGACAAGAGAGAGGAAGTTCATTAAACCAAATTATAAAATAACCCCCTGGTATCAACATGATTATTTGTATTCAGACGTTATAAACTGCGTGCTCATTGTTGCACATTGATGGATTGTATCTGAGTTTGTGTGAACACTAACAAGCACTTCTCCAGAGAGAAACTGAGAGGAAGGTAGGTAGGTGTGAATGGACAGATGCACTCATTGAAATGGGCACATTTTTCACCGCTTGCACTCTGCTTTGCAATTTTCACACACAGAACAGACTCTGACAAACACCACAGCACCGCAGTTAACTAAACAATCTTACTACAAGGTCATTTTAGTAGCTGCTTTGAAGCTTTTGATTGTATGACACGACCTTCACCGGAAGGTAGTGTATTTAAAAATCACTTCTATATATACAATAGGTTTTATTATTTTATTACAAAGCAGCATGTAATCCAGCATTACTGTTCATTAGTTCATCTCAGCCTCACTGTGTGCTGTTCACTGTCCAACAGCCCTGTCATGACTGTAGAGGGACAATAATTGACTTCCTTACAGAAACTACGTGAGTTTGTTTGACTGTTCTGTAAACAGATACACCAGCTGATCCTCTATTGTATTTCTGGAAGACCAGCAGCTCAACAAGTGTTTGCTGCCTCCAGAATTCAGTGTAGTATTAAACCGCCCTCGCTGTTACCACGGTAACCAAGGTGTTGCCAAATCGATCTGGTATGAAATCTTAAGGATTATAACTTTCAGGACTTTACAAAGTGTTAAGAAAAATGTATGCAATTACACTTTTGTAATATAACAAAAAGCCCTTATAATGGTCACCTGGAGGGAGGGTGGGGGTTGGGACGGAGTGGGGTTACACTCATGGCAGAATTGTTCAGACTTTCAGATTTCTGTACTTTTGTGATGTAAAACGTATAAAGTTGTAAAAAGTTAAATTTCAGCATCTACAATTACATGACGTGTATGTGTGATACGATTAAAAGCTCCAGAAGAGCCACTAAATGGACCTTGTGGTGAGATTTTGTCAGCTACTGTTTCCAAAGTCAAGAATTAAACTTATATATATTTAATGTTGATGTAAAAGTTGATGCACATTTTTGGTTTTTAATGATTGAAAAATACTAATTTTTTATTTGATAAGATGTAGTCTCCGGGATCCCCGTCTGATAAGATTTTGTTAATACATAACTGTCCCTACTGTACATCGGTAGACTGACTTACACACATGAACACAATGGTCATTCTTATACATTCTCTCATTGGGCAATAGTGAAATAATAGTGAAATTAAAATAATGAAATTCCCCATTTTTTGTAACTCCCTCAAGGATGCCTCGGGGTCTCCAGACCTCAGGTTGAGAACCACTGTGCTAAAACACACTGATCAACACAAGTAAATGTCCTTACTTTGAGCTAAAACAACTTTTATTTCCTAAGACTATATATCATCTGTCTGTGCGTGCATAAGTGTTTTGTACGTCAGCTCACCAAGAAAGGCGGAGGGAGAGACGGTTCCGTTGCTACGGGAGACCATGACACTGATGCCTGTTTCAATGAAGGGCACAGAGAAGTCAATGACCTCTGACCTCTCCTCGTTGATGGTGAGTGAACCCACTGCCATGTGGGCATTCTTCAACACCACCTGAGGGTCGAACACAGAAAGACAGAGACAGACGGGAGGCAAACATGAAAGGTCAGTGGACGCACGGTGCGGAATATTCCCGGGACACTGTGGTCAAAGAAACATGATGTGAAAAGTAACTCAGTTCACACACAAGCCACTATGTTCGCCATGTGTTCAACACGTTATTCTGGTAGAATGGAAGCAGGAGGAGAAGGGGATTATTACTACACTGGGTCAGTATTCGACTCTCCCACCAACCCAGCCTCCCTCTGAACATATTCAGGTATATTTAGCCCCTAAGTTTCTGGAGCCTCAGGCCACGAATAAAAATGGAGCACAAAAGACTGTGTTAATAACGGATATGTATGCCAGAGCGAGCAGGAATCCTACGCACTGTTTTTTTTTTTTTTTGTCACACTTCTTCATACAGGCCTGTTGTTTTCTCTCTCTCTCTCTCTCTCTCTCTCTCTCTCTCTCTCTCTCTCTCTCTCTCTCTCTCTCTCTCTCATTCTGTTTTCTGAGTCTGTTGTCCTGTTTTCCCCCATTCAACTTAAATCATTAGCTGCTTACTTAAGCATTGAATGACGTGGACCAATGCATCCATGCACTGCACATTTGCGTAGCCTTGGCTTTATGCTGCTTTATATATAATAACAGCTACTCTAGATACTGTAATTTTACATAATCCTGCCCATCTTAACTCATCTGTGTTCCTAACATAATAATAATGTTGCTCATTCTGTGTCATAATCAATTAAGTTGGACATCACATCGATTTGTAAAAGCTACATTGTGTGTAATGTGTGCAGGAGAGAAATGGGTCTTTCCCTGAGGCTGCCTACTCCCTCTTGCCTTCTCTCCTCCAATTGCTTTCTCTTTCTACATGTCTTTTTCTTTCTCCATCTCTGATTAGGAGCCTCATTGTCCTCCTCCTGAGGTTTTTGCGTAGCTGATCATAGCTTCCCCCTCAGGCCAGGTTGTGGGGAACAAGTGCTCGATGGCTGACAGAGACAGTGAGAAACTAATAGAGAGAAAAAGACATTCAGACAATATAATTAGCCCTATCCAAAAGGTAAATTCCTATGGGTACCAAAATACTCTCCCCGCTTGTAGTAGTGTTAGTATTAGTATTAGATTACATGTTTAGTTTCTTATTTCATTGATTTTTTTCATTTTAATACATAGCAAGCATATAGTAAAGAAAACTGAATTACAAACCCCTTTTATTCACCGTTTGAATAAAGAAAAATACGATATAATGAATAAATGAAAATGGATTAGATTTACGACCGGTTCATCTATAACTTTTGTATTTTTCAGCCAGCAGTAAACTCCAAATCAATGTTGTGTGTGTCACAGGAACATTTCTTTTGTTGAGTTATAATTTTCATATTATCACTTTCCATAACCAACAGCCTTGTTGCTTTGGCATATATGCTTGTACTGTCCTGGAGAAAGAATTTTCTTGCAATTGCAATTACTTCCGGATACGCCAAATTCCAGTGCTACAAATTTTAAAATGGTTTCCATCAGGCTACGTACATTAAACAAATGCAACGAGAAAGAAAAGCTTTGTCACTAAATTATCAGCTACACTCACAAACCTTTCTCACTCTACAACATAACAGATGTAAAAATTGATCCCTGCCACTTGAAGCAGATATTTATTGTTTTGTTTGCATTGTGTCATTATCACGTCCACATCAAATCTGCACTCACAGAATTCAGAAGACAGATTAAAATGAATTTATCATGATTTAAATAATGATTTAAATGAATAGAGTAACAGAGTGGTAAATTGTTGCTGATTAATGATTAATCAAATTAATAAAATTTAATTTTTGCTCTCTGTGCTCCACATTGAACCTTAAATGTCCTACATTTTATTCTGGTTGACTTTTCCAACAAATGCTCACACTTTATTTTGAACTGTTGGTGATAAAATAAAATGTCAAACTAAAAGGTCTAAATCTACCAGAATATACTAAATATTTCTTTTCAGCTTGCTTGAGGTAATTTTAGGTTGCTTTAGTGTGTTGTGTGTGCTTATTCTAGCTTGAAAAGCAATCTTTGTTATCTTAAACTAATATTTTCTATCACTTTACAAGCAAATCAACATTCTGCAGAAATCTGCAGATCCTGTTTGGCTTTGGTCATTATAAACAGTGTTGCATGTGTTAAAGGAAGCATGCTGAATGCATTAGGCCTTTAAGAAAATAGTAAAATGATGGTAGGGGTGCTGTATGCCATCAGTGACACACCAACCATAATTATGAGCTAAATGGACGCAAATTAACAATTAGCTGTAATAAAGTGGTGTACTGGTTCTGATGGAAGTTGGATGGAAACACTGAATATAATTTCATGTTTAAGTACACTGCTCCATTTAGTCACTCTGCTGGTACAATAGTGATTATACAGTATGGTGAGGTCAACAGTGTTCTGCCAGCTGTGAAATTCACAATCAGCCGATGTGCCAACAGGTCTATATGAAATCGACCAAACTGTCATTCTGGCTATTTTAAAACTGTCAACACCCAATGCAAAGCTGCTGCTTCTTTCTAGTGTTTGGCTAGACTTATAGGAACAAGATCTACTCTACTTATTCTGTACAACCGTATATGTAACTAAGAACATCTCCACTACATCAGTGAAAGAGAATCAAAGCGAGTAATTTATCAAGAACATGAGGAATAAACAGAGTGACAGAGAGAAATGTCCTCACCTCTCCAACCATGCCGTTCCATGTCCCATTAACCTTCTTGCCGTGTTTGCCGTTGGTCACCAGGTAGAGGTCGTAGGTGAACTTGACTGCCTTGGCGATCTTCTTCAGGATGTCTATACAGAAACCTTTGCAGCAGCGCTTGATGTAAATCCCTGAATCACCTGTCTGATTGCTGGTAGAGGTACAGAGAGGAAGAGAGCGGAGGAGAAGTAAAGGTAGGAGATGAGGAGAAAATGAAGTTTTTGACATTTATTTGGGTTCAGATACATAAAACTAGCAGATTCAAAAGAGAGAGGACGGCAGCATGACATGGAATAATATGAACAATGGGGTTTAACTATCTGGCACTAAGACGGTGTCCACATATTTCTGCTTTTGTGCATGAATGAAGACGAATCTACACACAGCCTTGTGCATCTGGTTCACTGAGATTTTTTTTAGGGTGGTGAGAAATCCTTCATATTCTCTGTGGCATATTGCTGCCCGTCCCTGAAATGCTGTATCTGAGGATGTCTTTGAAGGAAGAGACAGACGGAGAGGCAGACAGGCAGAGGGAAGGAGAGAGGGGGAATAGGGGAATAGGAGAAAGAACAGGGTGAAAGACCAGTCAATACAAAAACCACTGAGCCAGAAGATGTAGGGCACCCTCAGGAGATTTCAGGTAGGCCAGTGATAGAAAAGGAGGCCATTGAAGAAAATTCATTATCACACACCAAGGAGAAGTGGATAGTGAGACGGTCAGGGTGCAGAGTCGGGGGAGAGGGGAAAACAGTGACAGAAACCAAGACAATGATCTAGTTAGCAGTAGTGAAGCAAGTGGAGGTAATCACAGGACACTGAGAGATAGTGAGAGGATGAAAAATGATTATATTTTTAAACTCCAGTGAAGAAAGAGAAGTAGAATCCCTGCAGCATGCTGCAGTGATGGAAAAATATTAAACAAAGAAGCCAAAGGGAAGATTCAAGGAAAATGTACAATAATTCACGACTGTGAGCATTCCTCGATGCACATACGGGCATGTTTCATTACAGCATTGATTAATTTCTTTTCCTTTGGTAAAATTCACAGTTTGTGTAATATTCTGCTAAACTACAGATGCAGCAGTTGGTGTTTTATGCTTTTTTTTTAAAAAGCTTCTTGTGATTTATTTAGTGTGACAAATGACTTTGAATACATGCAGAAGGTTACACAGTATACCAGAAACGTTTTGAATAATTCATTTTTCAGCCATCAATGTATAAATCAATGTCTTACCCCAAATGTTATTAAGAAAAAGTGTCTTTTTAGCACTTGACATAATATTCCTCCTGGATTCACATAGTAAGAACAAATCAGATTTGTTATTACTGTGGGACAAAAATGTCTTAAGGATAAAAAACGAATACAATTTATTTTTTCTATGTTTAAATCCAGCTCTAAAATCCCACCTGAGTTTGAGCTGTTTGCGGCACGGCACAGTGTTCCTCATGCATGTGCCACTAAGAGGGTCCACATCCTCCACGATGACAAATGGTGCCTCCTCCAGAGTCACGATGGACAGGTGGTCCTCTCGCTCCTCCGCCGCTGAGTACAGCTCAAAGCGAGGCCACACATGGTACCTCATCGTCAAAGAGCCTCTCTCCCACTTGCCAACCTGTACGAGGGAGTGGGAGGAGGACTGTGTGATATACAGGCTACTGTAACAGGTACTTCAAGTGGCAGGGAAAAAAGTGACAGACGGATCACAGAGGGTGGAAAATACAAACCAGCGAAAAAGGGAGAAGGTAGATTAGAGAAAGAGAGAAGGAAAGAACAGAAGGTGGATAGGGAAGAGAAGAAGAGGAGGAGGGAAGATTTTTACCCTGTCCCACTGTCTATCCTTGTCTAGAAGAATGATGACCAGTTTGGGGAACATCTGGTGACCCTCTTCACTAAACGACAGGTTTCGGCCTTCAAATGTCACATTCATGAGGTACCTGAGAACGAGAATTCAAGTGTGAGTTAGAAAGATGAACATCTGTCTGCAGAATTTAAACTTTAAACTTTATTTCTTACCTTAGGTTTACAAACACATTCTGGATATATAAAGATTATATGTCTGCATTAACAGATGTTTTTTGCTTTTGGGACTGTAAACACAACATTGACATATTATCACATAAGTTGTTGTGGCTATGTGTTAGCAAACAGCTGCTCTACATTCATTTTTAATCATCTTTTGACTATCTGGTTAATAGAAGTCCAGTATTCACTCTCTTTCACCAATGTTTTTGGTCTCGACCAACTCCTGAGGGAAAAATCTGCCTCTTTAGCTGTTAAATGCTCACCAGCTAGTTGCTGAATGTGTCGGTCTGCTGTTTGTTGCTGAGCTGGTAGTGTAAAAGTGCAGCATTTTTTTTGAGCTTTTCTGCTGAAAAGAGCTGCCTGCTGCAGCTGAAAACAAGCTTCATGAAAGCTGTGAAACTGAGCCAAACAGGTAAGTTGCAGCCCTGTAGACACAAAACAATGAGCTGAAAGACACAAAAACTCGCCTTACAGCTAAGAGGAACTGCAGAGTCAAGTGAAAATGATCTGTGGGTTCATCACAGCAACATTTTTTAAATTACATATAATTAAATACAGATTAATGCAGCTTTAAGAACTATGGTCCAACATATCAGCAGTACTATGACAGTATAAGATGCTGGTAACTACTCCGCAGATGTCGTAAGGCTAACATGCTCACAGTTTAAAACAGTAGGAGGGGAGAAAGCTCACACATAAAATCAAGAATTTTATAAATATTCTCAAATGATTTAAACATTGAAATATTGAGACAAAACATTTCAATCACAAAGTGTATGTGGCGGCTGATCTTTTAATGACTCAGTGCTGTCAAATATTCAGTTCAAATACTTGGCAGTGAAATGTGTTGGTACATGGTTCAGAAAATAATGTCTGGAGATGGATATGTACAATATCTGAGACCCACAGGTTTTAGCTTTTAAACACATTTGCTTTGTTGATCTTCACGTTTTATAGATGTTTATATATGTTATCATATGTCTATGTTATATATGTATATGTTTAAAAGAATATACTGATGTAGCAAAGTTAGCAAGGTTACCACAACTACTGCAGGTAAAACACCTCAACTGTGGAATGACAATATATGTATATATTTAATTATATAATTATTATTATTATTAATATTGTTATTGTCACCATTATTATCAGCAATAGAAGTAACTTTTATGTGTTATGCACTCTTGCTATCTTTACCAGGACCTGTAAACGACAAGTATATTTACTGTATGTGCGTCTATATGTTATTTATAAAGTATGACGATAACAACTGAAACTGATACTGAATATGATTCATGATCATGATGTATGTTAACTAAAAGCAAAGACACCGCTTCTATGTGACACCTGATAAGACTGAGACACATAAATAAAGAGTACAGGGAGGCTGTGAGGGGAAATATACTGAGCAGGGACGACGAAGAGAGCAACAAGAAACCAGGAGTGGAAGGTGGAAGAGAGAAGGAGTGGAGAGTGTATTAACCGCCTGTGTGAATACACATCAGCATATATGTGTGTCAACAAGTGTATAGCAGCGGCAGATAAGCTGGAATCATCTCTCTGCCGCCTCCTTCCCTCACTCTTCCTCGTCCTGATCTGTGGGCTGCCATCACCATGGAGACGCTGTGCCTCTGAAACAATCCACCGGAGAAATAAATATCTTGTCTGAATGCAAGGAGGGGCCGTGAGTGTGTGTGTGGTGTGTGTGTGTGTGTGTGTGTGTGTGTGTGTGTGTGTGTGTGTGTGTGTATATATATACGTGTATATATATGTGTGGTTTGTGCAGACTTCTTAAAAGAGGTGCGGTACAAATTTTACTCACCATCATCTACCACCAAGTCAACAGTGTGAAATAAAGACAATAAATCTATTCACTGGTAAAAAAAATAAAAAAACGCAGACAACAGATGAGCAATGGGCCTGAAACTTACCCAAGATTTTATCGCAAGTACCTCCTACTAGAACATTCAGTACCTCTATCTGTAACGTCTTCAACTATATTTATATCCCTCCTCACAAACACACACACACACACACACACACACACACACACACACACACACACACACACACACACACACACACACAGACCTAAGTAGGCTACATGCTTTGAGCAAGTCAATAATATGACTCAAGCCTCCATGAAATGCCCATTGCTGCATACTGGCTGGCTAGCACACTAAAAGTGCTGTAATGCGTGTGTAACATGGGATTAGCCTTCTAAACATAATCTCAGTTTGAATAGGGAACCAAAAAGATCAAGGTGGCGTGGGTGGAGGCTCAGGAGGTCCCACTTGTTGCCATCCCGACGCCATGTCTATGTATGTGACCAGTGGCGGCCTCTGCCTGTGTCATCATGATGGGTGACATGTGTACGTATACGTAAAACCGCAACATAGGGAGGCTCTTAACACCAGTATAATGTAATGTGTTGCCATGGCACCCACAACCACAGCAATTTTCATGCAATCAGCTGTGTTGCCATGGGAACAGTAATCTCACCCAAGAGGCTGGTTGAAAGAAGGAGAGAGAGAGAGAGAGAGAGAGAGAGAGAGAGAGAGAGAGAGAGAGAAAAGGAGTATTTTTCATTCTAAAGCTGAGTGTTTACCCACTTCCCCTCATGCTGTCTTTCACTTTCAGATCAATCTCTCCATCTCACCTCAGAGTAGCACATCAAATTGCACATCAATAGGATTCATCTGCCCGTACATTAACCTGTGCCTTTACAAAGACTGGTGCATGCTGTGAATTTTACAGCAGAGAAGGCTGCTCTGTTTATCATTTTGTATGCCTGTACTATTGATGTAGCTTTTATGTGCCGTTTGATCCCTTCTCATGTCAGAATTCCCCTCTGACTCTGCTGGAGGAAGAAAAAATAAAAATGAAAGTACTGAGCTACTAGCAGAACCTCATGCGGCTTCATCACAGCCATATGCAGCGCTTGTGTGCGCCTTGCTCACCAACTGTTCCCCAACTAATCACTGGCTGTGAGGGGAATTTATTTTTTAGTTACAGAGACACTGAATCATCAATGGCATGGACACAATCCCTCTTTTCCCCCCCTCTTCACACATATTTCAGAGCCATTTCATATGTCTTTCTTTTATCTTCGAGAGAAGCTGCACAGGGTCACAAATTCTCTGTCGCGGCAACGCAGGGATGCAAAATTATATATCCCTGCTGTGCATGTGTGTAAGGCAGTTTGTGGTGCATGTATATACACACACACACACACACACACGAACATACTGTATCAGGTTTAGGTGGATGACTCATAATCTGGGATGACTGCAGAAGACCTGCCTCTGAAGAGTTACCAGTTACTGATGAAATGCAACTCATTTCAAGTGGTGTAGGATGGAAGCAGTGACTGTCTGAGGAGACTGTGCAATATAGCTATAACTGTAGAGTATAGTAAATTATGGTAAGTGCATACAGTGTAAGACGTGCGCCACTCAAGGTTCACTCCAGAACAAATTACACAGGGCGGCAATAGTTTTCACCCATGTGTGATTACAATATAATTAAAGCTCGTAACATTTTCAGTTGACAGCAGGTACGCATAAGAGCGTTAAACAGACAGACGTGAGTAAGGACATTAGCCAGCACAACAGAAAAAAAAAAAAAAACACTACAGCAACTGTTAACTACAGCTATAACAACAAACTGAACAGATTTGAATGAGCATTGTCATTAAAGTCGCACTGCCATCGTATTGCTGTATTTACTTTTTTAAATGATTTTTCCAAGCCACCTTCACAAGGTGGCATAAGCATACAAATAAACAAATTCTACATATTTCTAATAAAGGAAAAGAGAAAGAAGGGGTGACACAGGGGCTAGGAGTCTTGCCATTTAACACATTTTACAGGTAACATTGCTTGATTGCAATCATAGAAGTTCATCAATTTACATGCATATTAACAGGGTATGTCACGATTGTACACGGAGCTCGGGTGAATCCCATCATGTCCATATCTCAACATATCAAGATGTCATATTTTACATAAAGGACATGTTGGGCTTGACAACATTTCCTCGTTGACAGATAATATCTATCTATCATCATTTTGTACTGTATCAGTCGGTAATGACTGTGTGATTTTAGAGAGAGAGCTTTTAGAGCTTTTATTGCCTTAAATTGACATTGACAGCTGAAGAGTGACAGGAAAGATGGAGAGAGGGGGGGGGATGACTAGCAGCAAAAGGCCACAGGTCAGATTTGAGCCCATGGCTAAAGCAGCAAGGACCCGGCATTGGTACATGGGACAACAACTCTACCAGATGAGCTATCCTGGCACCCCATAATTTGTATTTTCTAATATAAAGTTCAGGTTTTGTTTGTCATTTGTGACTATAATCAAACTGCAACTGAGCCTATCACGAAAGAAGAAAATGAAGATTTGCTTAAGAGGCCTAGTTGTGAATAATTTATTTTAGCTTGATTGGCAATCCCAAGTGCCACGGACTAAATTATTTTCCGAAAAATGGATGGGTGGCTTTAACTTCAGATTCCACTCAAATATAACTTTGGAAATATTTTTTACTGGGGCTACACTTTGAAAAACATGCACAATGTGTAAATAATAAATTCAAAACACAAAAAAATAAATGAATTGCTTATTTATTGACTCATTTGTTGCTGGTGGCACAGCTCTGATACCATAAATACACACCATGGTGATGCGGACTACACATAAGAAAAGATGTAAGACTCTGAATCTCTTTGAGCTGCAGCCTTTAATAAGTGAGTCCGCAGGAGCTCCATGTGATCTGGGCCCATGAGGACCCCTGTTGAGTAGGAGACATCAGAAAGCTACCTGTGGAGTCTGGAGAAAGAGAGCACTGTATCAGTGAGAGCCCTCTCTCATTTCAAATGTGAACAAGGGATTAACAGGCGAGGACACTGACC